AAATAATAAGTGACTTTAAGCTCATCAAACACCCCCACGCTTAGATTTTGCTCGTCCGAGCAAATCTAAAATAAAAATGCTCCTAATACTGCAACTGCCTTAGACAAGTGGCCGGCTAAATCAACTTGATACCATATTGGGGTCACATTCAACCTCAAACCTGGTTATAACATTCCACTAGTGTTGTGGTCAAATTTGCACCAAATCCTCGATGCACCTCACAAGAAAGATACAATGCCCATTCACACACCAATTTTCAATTAACGGCCTCGAGCAATACATAACAATCGCTCACCCTCACAAAGAAATGACTCATGCCTTCCAAAGTACCATAAGCTTGGCTATCGTGTAACTCTCCACTAATGTAGGAACAACCTCATCTAGATCATGTAGGATTTTATATTTGATTGAAATGTAGGCTATGAGATAGGTTGGATATCATCTGTATATGGGTCTCTACACCTTCTTAAGCAATTTAATACCAACAACTTCATACTTGTCCTGCTCCCTTTTCATCCAGCTTGTGTTGTCCACGAACTCCCCATTCAAACTGTATACAAGTATTTTACATACAAGTATTTTACATCAACAGGGGAACATTAATTTTCAATTCCTTACTGATGGAAACTTAGGGTCCACCAAACTGTATAGAGAACCCAGTTCTCTATCAGTTCCCATAGAACACACACAATCAGAGATAAGTAAATGACACAATAGAGTTTTACATGGAAACTCCCAGCTCAGGAGATTAAAAACCACGATCGACACTCGTAGGATTTCAACTTCATTAATCAAGCAAACTTCAGATTACAAACTATTGTAACCTAGGAATTAAATTCTTAATCCCTCACCTACTTGTAATAACTCTATTACAAACCTCTTTGTAGTACCTCTATTACAAAGCTCATAACTTGACTAACTCTAGCCAAAACACAAACACTAGGTTTATGGTTTTACATAAGGTTTCCTACACAATGCTTCTAGATAAGCTAAGTAGGAATTACAATTAGATCACTTTAACAAAAGTACAACAAAACTAAGGACATATGGTAACACAATGTTGGATACTAGTCCTTCGTTCTGTTGTTCTTTGTTCTTGAAGCTTTGAAGTCACTTGCAAGATGGCAGCACACTTGAGAGATAAGCTTGATGATTTTTCAGATTGTTCAAGTTCACTTTTTCCATTGCTTCATGTTGATAATATACAAGTGATGTCACTTGGATGATGCAAGCAATTATCTAGTACAAGGCATGCTCCATAAAGTGGCTGTTGCATTGTTTGCACTATTGCATGTGTGCAGAGAAAATAGTGCAGTGACTTTATAGCTATGTAGAGTTGACATGACTATCAATAAGGGAACTGATGTCCGTCTATTCCTTCTATCATTTTTTTGCCTCTAGTTGTTGGAACTTGTGCCAGACTTTAGACTTGTTGTTCTTGAGCACTTTAAGGATGTGTAACAGGTTCCCAATCTGGTCCTTAACATAAAGTTTGTTAGATCATCAAAATACAAAAAGGCACATAACTTATCAATTTCTCCCTTTTTGATGATGACAAATTTATAACTAAAGTTTCCCTTGAGAACGAGATTTCCCTATAATATTTCCTGAAAGAAAACGCTTATTCCCCCTGAGAACTTGAGGACATGTTCCCTCTCTCAATTTTTTGTTCCCCCTAAGAACCTGAGAACCTATGCCCCTTCTCAATTTTCGTCTCCCTTTTGACATCATACAAAGATCATACACAGGTAATAAGCAAAAAAAAGTCCATCATGGTTAACTCATGCCACATGTGTGCACACAAGCATGGCAAAAAACAAAAGCATAAGAATATAACATGCATAGCAAAAAGACGAAATGCTCATTAATTTGAAATAAAAGAGAACATGAATAATAGTACCAATGTTACACAACCATTCACAAAAAAATAACTTAAAAGTACCAGTCATAGAACCAACAAAATAGAGACTAAGGTAGGACAGACATCATTCAACTTGACACTAGGAAGGGAACTTTTTTAAGAAGCACTAGAAGGGGGGAGGCAGGGATGAAGAGGCAAGGGTTCTGAGGAGAATATACATTCGAGCATTTGCAGAAATTTGCTCCTTAAGTAGCCGCTCTTTCAGGTCCTCAACCTGTTTCATGAGATCTGCATTTTCTTTGGTTAGGTGACCAACCTATGTTCCTTGTGCACTGCTAGAACCAGGTACCTCCTGGGCCTGACTGAGCTTCCCTTCAAGAATGGCATTTTGTGCCTTCAACCTCCTGATCTCCTCATTTTCAGCATTCTAAGCATTAATCAATTAAGAGATAGTAGAATTGCTGCCAACCTCTCCTTTCTTATCAATACACTCACATTCCTCCAAGATGGTATTTGAGAAGGTTTACTTGCAAGTTCCCACTATTTCTTTTCGCAAAACGACTTTGAAAAAGTTAAACACCTTAGTGAGTAAGAATCCGTAGGGCAAACCATGATTTCCATCCTTAAAATCTGCCACTTTCTTCATATGCTCTATCATGAGACCAGGAAGATTGATAGTGGTGTAGGCATCCAGTGCTTCTATGAGGCGTAGGTCTGCTTTTGATTTAATATAACACATTTTTGTGCATGGAAGCAAGACCTTATATAACATCTCAAACAGAAGTTGATATACTAGGAGGGGAGCCTTCTTGTGCACTCTTTCCCCTTGCTACACAACGTCATCCCTCAAAATGGCACTTCTGAAATTTGTAGAACACGTCCCCTCAATGGATGAGATCACTTCAGTAGGCACTCCCAAAAGGTTCCCTAACACAGCCTCGTCCATCATGAAATCTACTCTGTTGACGTTCAAGAAAATGTTATCATCTTCCACGGTAAATATATCTGCGTAGAAGCTACGCACCTCTTTCTCATACACCTTGGGGATCTCATTGGTGAACAAATGTGTCCACTTTTGAAACTCACAAATATCAACCAGTTGACGCATCCATATCGTGTCAAGAATATCAGGAGCAAATGTTCTGACCCATAGCACTCTCTATTTTCTAAAATTTTCTCTGCCCTCATCCTTAGACATACTCACTTTGACCTTCTTGGAGGAACTAGGTTCCTTGTTGTCACCAACCTTTCTCTTCATAGACTTTCTCACACTTTCTCTTTCTTTGTAGACTTCTCAAATAATTTTTCACCAGACTTCTCTCCTTCAACGCTTTTCACTTCTACAGTTTTCACAGATGATTCTCTCCTGGGTTTTGGAATCACAGTTTTTTAGAGGACTTACGAATTAAGGAAGAAGACTCCTCATTTACCTCTTCATTGTCAACATCAACAACAAGTGTTGGAGGCACTTCCTCCCCATTCACCAACTTTCCCCCGTTCATCAGCCTCCTTATTTTCTTCCCTTCTTTATTTTTCTTCAGAACAAATTCAAGGGCTTCCTTTTTTTGCAGACTGGTAGTAGGTATTTTAAGAGTGGGCATTTTAGGAACTGCCCTTCTACTCCTAGCCACAATGAAGCTTTCTATAGACACATTGTCATAATCTTCCTCACTTTTTTCATTTTCCTCTTCAGATAGAGATCTCATCTTAGGAAAGACAAAGTTTAATGGCTCAGCATCGAAATGAGCAGAAGGAGTAGGATCAGTATTGACCAGGGGCTCTTTTGATGAGCAAGGAGTTGTATCACAAGTAGGAAAAGTTTGCTCCTCTTGGGCATAGGGATCATGTCCCTCTATTGGTTCCCCAGTAGTATTGACAGGTGCCAAATGTTCAAAGAGCACTAGTTCCCTACCCTCATCCTTGTGACTTTCACCTTCCCTCTGAGACCCAATAGTATTATTATCACCCTCATAACCACCAACTAAACCTCCCTATGCAGCAATTAGTAACGTATTCTCAATGGTTTCTTGTTCACTTACCCCTAAAGTAGAATTAGAGGTTATATGAGGGAATTACCTATAGGATTGGTAGTATTCAGATCAAAGCTTGGAACAGGCAATCCTGAGCCTTCACTACTGCGAGCAACATCTTTGATGGGCTTTAGAACTTTCCCCAACTTTCTAACTAGAAACTTCCTGACCCTCGTCTTCGTCTACTATTTCGCCTTCTGCTATTTTTTTCGGCGACACAGAAGGAAATGTCGCAGCAACAAATCTTTTGAGGTTCTGAGTCTTATGACTGCATTGAGAACCAAAACTCAACTTGGTTGGAGAAGAGGCAATGGGTGGTTGCTGGTCTGGTATGGGATTTTGACTGGGTGATAGAGGGGATTCAAACTCTCTCTTTTGGGCTTTATGAGACAAAGACATAGTGTGAACTTTACTAGAAATGTTTGAAACTTCTGGATATTGAGACATACTGGAGATTTGAAGTGAGGACACAAGAAGAAAAGTGTTTGCTTTGAGAGAGAAAAGGAAATATTTGGCTTTGATGTGTATAGTAAGGAAAAAGACAGCGTTTAGGGTTATTTAGAAGAAGTGAGAGACCGGTTACAAATGGGTGTGGATTACTGGGTAGACAGGTCATTTAGTAACGGGTGTGACATTTGGGTTCTAAAGAGATGAGAGAGAAAAATTGAAACATTTAATGATGTGTCACTTTTATAGCCGTTAAAAATGTGCATTAGAGTATAAATGAACTACTAACCTAAGTTAAGGGAACCCATCCCTGACTTAGTATTGTAAATGTGAGCCTCATCCTTTTACTAAGATGTAACATTGTTAGCTTCTTGTTTGCTCTGTAGTTTCCATGCGTGTTTACCTCTAATTGTATAGAGGTAACTTAGAACTTGCCAGAAAATACTTTTTAGCTATTTTACCTATTCATTCTTTCATAGCCAATCATTGAGGGACCTGGTGCTCAATTTGATTTTATCAATCCCAATGCCAATCGATTCTTTTCAAAGTGTTCTCTACTTAGTACTTTGTTGGATCTATCTGCTACTTGGTCTTCTATTTTGCAGAACTTCATGCAGATAAGACCTTTTTCAACATTGTCTCTGAGAAAATGATGTCGCACATCAATGTGATTTGTTCTCTTTTGCTGAATCGGGTTCTTTGCCATGTTGAAAGAGCATGTGTTTTATCACACAGTAATGGAACACAATCAGAAAATACACCAAAGTCCTCCTGTTGCTGCTTGATCCACAGCAGTTGAGCACAGCAAGAGGCAACTGCCACATCCTCAGCTTCCGCAGTTGAAAGAGCATTAGAGTTTTGTTTCTTGTACCCCATGAAATAAAATAGGACCCCAGAAAATGTGTCATTCCATATGTGCTCTTTCTATCCACTAGATAACCAACATAATGAGCATCACCATACCCAATTAAGTCGAAATTGTCTCCTGAAGGATAGTAGAGAACCATGTCATGTGTTCCTTTGAGATACCTTAGAATCCTTTTGGCAGCTTTCATATGAGATTCCTTTGGACTGGATTGAAATCTAACACATAATCCCATACTGAATACGATATCAGGCCTACTAGTTGTGAGATACAAGAGTGAACCAATGATGCCTCTATACATGGTTTCGTTCACAGAAGAACCAAGTTCATCCATGTCCAGGTGAGCGGCAGTGGCAATAGGGGTATCAATGGTCTTTGAATTTTCCATCTCAAATCTTTTTAGGATCTCTTTAATGTGTTTTTGATGACTTATCATCATTCTCTTAGGGGTTTGCTTAACTTACAACCCTAAGAAAAAGTTCAATTCCCCTATCTTGCTCATTTTAAACTCGCTCCCTATAAGTTTTGCAAACTCTTCACACAAGGAATCATTTGTTGTACTGAAGATGATGTCGTCAACATAGACTTGCACAATGAGCAGGTTCCTCCCCCGTTTCTTCAAAAATAGGGTGTTGTCAATTTTTCCTCTTGTAAAGCCATTTTCAAGAAGGAACTTGGACGATCTTATACCTTGCACGAGGGGACTGCTTCAGTCCATATAATGCCTTGTCAAGTTTGAATACATGTTCAGGATGATCATGACACTCCAAACCAGGTAGTTGTTTGACAAAGACTTCTTCCTTTAGATATCCATTTAGAAATGCAATTTTAACATCCATTTGGAACAATTTGAATTCCATATGAGATGAAAAGGCAATAAGGATTCTGATGGCTTCCATTCGAGCAACTAGAGAAAAAAATTCTCATCATAGTTGATCCTTTCTTCTTGATTGTAGCCTTGCACTACTAACTTGGCCTTGTTCCTTGTTGTGTTTCCAAATTCATCAAGCTTGTTTCTGCACGCCCACCTAGTTCCTATAACAGCTCTGTCTGGGGGTCGAGGAACGAGGTTCCATATGCTGTTCCTCTCAAATTGATAGAGTTCATCTTGCATAGCAGTAATCCAGTCAACATTTTTCAATGCTTCCTTGATATTTTTGGGCTCAATTTGAGAAATGAAGGCTGAGAAGGCAAGTGAATTTCCTGACTTTGATCAGGTTTGAATCCCTGAGTCAAGAGGAATAATTCCATTTTGGAGAGGGTATGAGCTTTTGTCTTTCCGGTTAGACACTTGAATGCCATTGTAAGAAGATCCAGGTTCCTCTGAATGGGATCCGTTATTGACATCAATGGAGGAGTGAGCTCCACTTCGTAGTTTAGCATTAGGAGTTCCTTGCACAACATCAACAACTCTGTTCTCTGTTTCAGTTGTTGAGATGGAAGAACCAGGTTCCTCTGTATCAGTTGGAGATTCAACATCGTCATCTTCATTTGATTCCTTGACTTGACTCATCATGTTAGCCTTTACATTTTCCATGTCAATAACTTCACTAGGAACCTTTGACTGCTCTCCGTCTTGATCGACCTTATCAAGTGAATCTTTCCCACATAAGTAATGCACTTCATCAAAGATCACATGTATGATTTCTTTAACACATTGAGTTCTTTTGTTGTAGACCTTGTAAGATTTGCTTTGTGATGAATAGCCAAGAAAGATTCCTTCATCACTTTTGGCATCAAATTTTTCTAGTGCTTCCTTACTATTATTGAGAACGAAATATTTGCATCCAAACGTCCTCAAGTGGGTTAGCTTGGGTTTCCTCCCATTCAACACTTCATACAGGGTTTTGTTTAAGAGGGACATGATCATGCACATGTTCACCAAGTAGCACGCAATATTAATTTCCTTCGCCCAAAATCCTTTTGCAACACCACTATCAATCAGTATAATCCTTGCCATATCTTCAAGAGTCCTATTTTTCCTCTCTACAACACCATTTTTTGGGGTGTTCTAGGAGCAGAAAAATTATGACTTATACCCTTTTTAGCACATAATTCGTCGAATTTTGCATTGTCGAACTCTATGCCATGATCAGATCTTATACTCACGACATTATGGCTCATCTTCACTTAAATCTTCTTCACAAAGGCAGCAAACACTAGAAAAGTTTTATCCTTGGTTATGAGGAACAAAGTCCAAGTGAATCTGGAGTAGTCATCCACTATGAGAAAACTGTACTTCTTTCCTCCTCTGTTTGGCACCCTCACAGGTCCACACAGATCCATATGGAGGAGATCAAGTGGCCTTAAGGTGCTTAATTCCTTTTTGGGCTTGAAGGAGGACCTGACTTGCTTTCCTCTTACACGTGTCACACACTTTGTGATCTTTGAACCTTGACTTAGGCAGCCCACGAATCAGGTCCTTCTTGACCAACTTGTTTAGCAACGAAAAGCTTGCATGTCCCAATCTTCTGTGCCACAGTTCAACATTTTCATCAACAACACTCATGCATGTAAAATCCCCATTGTTTAAAGACTCAAAATAAGAAACGTAGATACTTTTGAATATTTTTGTCATCAAAACTACTTCACTAGTTACAAGACTTGTAACAGTGCAAGTCTTTGATAAGATTCCACTTTGTTTCCTTTGTCGCAAATTTGAGTGATACTCAGTTGTCACGACCCCGATTCGCCCTCCCTGAACCATCGTGACAACACATAGTCCCTACGACTAGGTAAGCCTAAATTGCAGAAAATAAACTAATTTGTGGAAGTAAAACAATTTAAAATAGAATTAGAGTAATAAGTCAGTGTTTAAAAGTGCCGCTCGACATACATAATATTTAACTCTCAGAAACCAATACATATCTCCAAGACTCGGAAACCCATGAATCACAAGCTAAGGATCACTATAGAGTGCTCTAACTGCAGAATAGTCTAAAACAAAAGAAATACAGAAGGGCAGTAACTATAAGAGAGAGTGGAGAGAGACTCCTCGGTCTGCGGACGCGACAGATATACCTTGAAGTCTCCGAACGGTCGCCTCGCCTCAAGGATGGTAAGTCTGAGTCAAGGTACCTGGATTTGCACATGAAAAACATGCGCAAAAGGGGCATGAGTACACCACAATGGTACTCAGTAAGTGCCAAGCCTAACCTCAGTCGGGCAGTGAGGTTAAATAAAATATAAAGATCAATAGTATAGAACAAATCAGTATAAATAAGTACATCAGTAGAATAACACAGGATGTACATGACATCAACAACTATACAGAAGCAATGTAAACACGGAAAGGAAATACAACTCAGTACCAATAATAACAATCGGGGATCTCCCAGGATACCGTCATGTAGTCCCATATGTACATATCCAATGGATCTCCCAGGATCCCGTCCCATAGTCCAACTCATAGTGCGCGGGGATCTACCAGAATCCCTTTCCGTAGTCCTAAATGTAAATACCCAGTACTGGGGAAATCTACCGAGTGCATTCCCGTAGTTCCATATAACTGTGCAGGGGGATCTACTGGAATCCCACATCTGTAGTCCCAAAATAAAAAGACAAGAGGGAGATACCAGCATCCCACATTCGTAGTCCAAAATAAATACACAACATAAACAGGAAAATATACAGAAATGGCAAAACTTCATATTAAGGCAACAAGTGATTCTATACTAGCATGCTGCACAAAATTCAGGTAAGACAGGTTAAGCAAATAAAGCAATTAAGTCACTTAGGCATGCTTTCCAACTAGCAACAGCTTAATAGTGCAAGTAATAGAAACAGGAAAGGAAACATACTAGTAATTATTTAAAGAAAACCGGATTTCCAACAATTAGCACAAGTACGCACTCGTCACCTCACATAAAAGGCATTTCAATTACCAAATATACCAATCCTAAGGGGAAGGTCCCCCACACAAGGTTAGACAAGCCACTTACCTCGAACCGGCTCAAAATCAACCCAAAACCACGCTCTTGCCACTAGTACTCGACTCCAAATGACCCAAATATATTCAATTCAATTGCATAATGTAAATAACACTTCAAGTAACTGATTCTACAAAAAAATTCTGAGCTAATACGCAAAATTAGATAAAATGACCAAAACGCCCCTCGGGCCCACGTCTCGGAATCGGGAAAATTTATATTTTCAGAATCCTCATTCTCTCACGAGTTCATGCATACCAAAATTATTAAAATCTAAGGTCAAATTACCAACCAAAAGTCGAATTCTAGGTCTAAGAACTTTCTTCCAACTTTTCCCCAATTTTCATCTCCAATCCGAATTTAAATGATGAAACTAACTATGGATTGATGGAATATAACTAGAAAGGGTTAAAGAATCGTTACCCAATGATCTCCTCTTCAATTTCCTCTCAAAATCATCCTCTCTCGAGCTCCAAATCGAATTTCCATCTTTTGAATCTAAACCCTCGAAATTTCATATTTCTGCCCAGCTATTTCCGTATCTGCGGTCAGATAATCGCATCTGCGATAATACTTCGGCTGTTGGGGAACCGCTTTTTCGGTTCTCACTTAAAAACCCAATCTCGCACCCGCGACCTCAAATTCTGCATCTGCGATCACACAGATGTGGTTCCTTATGCCGCTTCTGCGGTTCCAGGCCCCCTTCCTCATTTCTGCTTCTGTGACCTTTAAGCCACGTCTGCGGCACCACACCTGCGGGACCCAAACCGTAGGTGCGATTTTGACAGATAACAGCTAAAGCTACAAACTTCAAACTCCAAAAATCTTTCTGTTAACCATCCGAAATCACCCCGAGGCCCCCGGGACCTCAACCAAACATGCCAACCAATCCTAAAATATCATTCAAACTTGTTCCAACCTTCGAAACTCTCAAAACAACATCAAAACACCTATTTTTCATCAAATTCAAGCCAAAGAATTCCAAAAACTCTAAAAATACGCTTTCGATCCAAACGTCTATCAAACCTTGTTTGAATGACCTGAAATTTTGCACACACATCGCATTCAACACTACGGAGCTACTCCAACTTCCGAAATTCCATTCTGACCCTCGGATCAAAATCTCACTATTGAATCAGAAACTTCAAAATTTGACCTTTCGACATTTCAAGCCTAAATTAGCTACGGACCTCCAAAACCCAATCCGAACACGCCCCTAAGCCCGAAATTACCCAACGAAGCTAACAGAACCATCGAATTTCCATTCCAAGGCTGTCTTCACACTGTTCTGACTACGGTCAACTCTCTAACACTTAAGTTCTCATTTCGGGACTAAGTGTCCCAAAACTTTCTGAAACTCAAAACCGAATATCTCGGCAAATCAAATTAGCAGAAATAAACTTGGGGATAGTAGTTAATAGGGGATCGAGACATTAATTCTTAGGACGACCGGCCGGTC